TCGCTTTATCGATGGTGAAGTCCAGTCCCAAAGGAAGGAGGACTGCCTTGCTGAGATCCCACAGCAGCCTGTGGCACAGCTGGGACAAAACTCTTTTGCCTCTTACTGTCTCGGGCCGTCTCATCAGTTTCTTCTGGTAGCACCTGAAACCTAACCTAATTAGAGATATCTATATACATATGTGTGTGTGTGATTGTCATACAGAGATGTTGTAGTAATATTGGTGGAATTCTAAATATACACGTGATCCTGACATGGCAGTTAAGCAGTTTTCCCTTTATGTTTTCCTTTCAGTACAGTATTCGACATTCTGGGTTTTTCCACGATAGTGCAAGCTTTTGTACATGTTGCTACATAGTCATCATGCTTAACTTAAAAAAAAATTAACCGTTTTTGAAAACTGACACTATCTTTTTAACCTAAACTTTCTGTCCCTCCCGTTTATTCTTTTCTCCATTTCTAGCTCATCTCTAAATCATGTAATTTTTAAAATTTAAACATGATTTTTAAGAATACTCAAACAGCTCTAAAACTATAACATGTATAGCCAGCAGCCTCTGTCATCCCACCCCACAGAGATTACCAGAATCAACACTTAGGACATGTGACTCCAGGTACTGTCCTTGCTTTGCTCTCTCTGTGTGGGTTGGTCACCTTCCCCTCGCGCCCCGGGTGCGCTCCTGTCCTCTCTCTGGACACTGGCACGTGGTGTGGTGGGGTTCAATCCCCAGCCCCCCATTACAGCAGTTTGCACTCCTGACCCAGAGATCTGCACTCCCTCATCCATCACGCACCCTCACGCCTGGTTTTCAAGGCCTTTGCCACCCAAGTCCTTATCTTTTATTAAACCCCCTCTGGGTCTTTCTGCTGTACTTAGGCTCTCTGGTCACCCTCACTGACACGCCTCGCTCAACTTAGAATGTCTTCTGTTGCGTTCAGTGAATTGTAGATAACAGGTTGCTCACTTGTGCAGCTTCTGCCGAGGGAGCGTCATGCGGTTGGGCTGTGTATGTTATTGATGGTGCTCGTCACAGAGCACGCTTGCTTCCAGCAGCTCAGGTTAATGAAGTGTGCCGGCGCCTTCTGAATGAGTTCAGCATTCGCTTAGGGTTTCCTTGTCATTCTGGTGACTCGCACCATGTGAAACATTCTTGCAATGCTTTCTTGATAATGTAGCCATTATTTTTTGAGCATTTACAGGGTGCCACATGCTTTTCACGTGCTTCCAGCAGCCCTTGAGGGTACGGTTCCTGTCCCTGTGAGGAGAGGCTCAGAGAGCCTCAGTACCTTACTGTAGCTGCAGAGGCAGCAGCTAAATGGGACTCCAACCCAGTTCTGCCTGATTCTGGAATGTGTGCATGAAGCACCACAATATTTAGCCTTTTTTCTTTTCCTCTTTTAAAGGAATATCAGAAGCTCTTTCCTGACATTCCCATAGGGTATTCTGGGCATGAAACAGGCATAGCGATCTCTGTGGCCGCGGTGGCTCTGGGCGCCAAGGTGTTGGAGCGTCACATAACTTTGGACAAGACCTGGAAGGGGAGCGACCACTCGGCCTCGCTGGAGCCTGGAGAGCTGGCCGAGCTGGTGCGGTCCGTGCGCCTAGTGGAAAGAGCCCTGGGCTCCCCGACCAAGCAGCTGCTGCCCTGTGAGATGGCCTGCAACGAGAAGGTGGGTTCCACCCGCCCTGTTGGGCCCCACTGTTCCAAGGTGCTGCAGTTGGGCTTACCTGCCAGGAAGAGTCAGTACCAGCCCTGCCTGAGCCCAGGCCGATGGGACGATGAAGGATTGTCACTCCAACCCTGAGTCTCCCTGGGCTCCTGTTATTAGCGAGAGGAACATGTCGCTCAGGAACTTCAGCAGTTTCTCCAGCTGCCTTGGATCACGTCAGAGTTTCCGGCTGAGTCTCTGAAGCCTGTGGCCCCCACTGCTCTAGATTCCAGGAGACGTGGGGGCGGGGGTGGTGTCTGGGGCCTCGTGAGGCACTCGGCTAGGTCAGGTCTGGGGTCCCTTGGAGTAGGTAAGCCTTGGGAAACATGCAGACAGAGGGTCTGTGAGGCAGTAAGAGAAGGGCCTGTGGTAGGTCGAGGCGTCCCTCAGCTGGGGAGGCACTGGGTGGACGGGGGCAGGGGCCGTCCCAGGGGCTTGGTGGGACATGATGTAAATACTCCATCAGGAGCAGTTTGAGCTGTGTAGCATTGACCTCCAGACGGAGGGGATCTGAGGCCAAGGATCCTGCTTGGCACACTGACCCTCTGGGGCTCTTGGAAGCTGCAGCCTGGACCTGTCTTGGCCTCTGAGTCATGGAGTGGGCGTCCTGGGGCTCCAGGAGTGCAGACACTCCTGATCTGCTGCGGGCTGTCTGGGTCAAGGCAGAGGTTGAACAGCAGGCACGTGTGGGGAATGTGGTCATCTTTATTCTAGTGAGGTCTGCTTGCTTCCCTCAAATTAAGGATGCATATACACTGGGAAATTAAGATAATAGTAAAAAGAAACAAACTACTTTATAGAGGTACGTAGAGTAAGAGCATAGATCGTTTGTTTAACAGCACCTGTGGACGAGACATGGAAACGCTGGTCCTGAGCTCAGGGGCCCTGAGGCCCCTCTCCGGTCCTCTGAATAGCACTAATGCTCTCTGTCTTGGGAGCCCTCCACCTTCCTATTTTGCCAAACAGGTGGCAGTAAGGTTTGTGTCCCTTGAGAGCAGTGGGCCAGGAGTTAGGAATCCTAGGTTCTCATCCCAGCTCCTTGCAACCTTGGCCAAGTCACCCCTCCTCTGGGCCTCAGTTTCCCCAAGTTTAAAATGAGATATTGAACTAGATGACAAAAGTAATCATAATTTTATCGGGAGCATCTATGTTTAGATCGATTACATATATTATTACTAATCCTTATAGTCGTCTGACTCTATATTTCTGCGGGGCCGGCACTGAGTCTTAATTCTCTTCACAGCTGGGCAAGTCTGTGGTGGCCAAAGTGAAAATTCCAGAAGGCACCATTCTGACGCTGGACATGCTCACCGTGAAGGTGGGTGAGCCCAAAGGCTACCCTCCTGAAGACATCTTTAGTCTTGTGGGCAAGAAGGTCCTGGTCACTGTTGAAGAAGACGACACCATCCTGGAAGAATCGGTGGAAAATCATGGCAAAAAAGTCAAGTCTTAAAAAATAAAGTGCTGTTCTCTGAATTCTGGGTGCCTTCTGGTACTGTTGGGAGCGTCGGGGTGACGAGGGGCTGGGGTGCTGGTCTCCAGAGACCTGGCTTTCATCTGCTCCCCAAGACACAGACACTTGGGCCAGGCCCATAGGAGGGGTGCAGAGAGCACATGCGACATCTCTGCTTCAGCCGGGCCGGCCGGAGGGGAGGAGCTCAGAAGCAGGTCGTCACCCTCCAGGGGCTGGGTGGGTGCAAGAGGGACGAGTACGGGCCGGCTGGGTCCTTTTCTGTAGGCCTTCATTCTTCCTGCCCGCAAAGCCAACCCAAGTGACCTGAAATCTCCCCTCCTTCCAGACCTCCAGCTGCCCTCCCCACTGCCCTCATGCCCTGCCCACCCTGGCACTCTGTGTCCAGTTACTCAGCAGAAGAGAAGGGATCAAAGGGTCTTACAGGTGGAGAAGTGCCCAGAGCACTCCTGTCCCTGAGCAGAGAGGGAAGTGGCCTTCATTCCTTCTTCCAGCAAACACGGAGGGCTGCCGTGCCGGGCCCTGTTCTAGGTCCCAAGCATACAGCAGGGCACAGCCCACATCACTTCCTCGTGGAGCTCCCATTCAGGTGGGGACAGGTGAGCACGGTGAGCAGATGGCAGCGTGTTAGAAGGTGATGTGTGTGATGGGGGAACAGGCACGTGAGGGAGACACAGAGACACAGTGCCGGGCTTAGTGTCTCTGTAGCTTGTGGCGACTTTTAAACATGGTGATGACGCTGAAAGCCGCCCTTCCTTAATCATGGTGAAATTACAAACCCCACTAACAGACGCGCGTCTCTGCTCCGCCGCCTTGAACAGCAGCATGAACCCTCCGCAGAGACTCCACTGAGTCTCTTCAAATGCATGCGTGATCCTTTTGAAGTTTCTTTACTTCTGAGTTCAGGCCCTCCCTCACCTGCGGATCCCACAGTTTCGGGAAAGGCGCTCATGTGTGGGGTGGGGCGGGATGGGAATCCTGGGTTGTATTCGTGTGAGAGAGAACCAGTAAGGCTGATGGGCTAAAACTGAAGTCTGATTGTATCCATTTCCGGCTGGTATTTACTCCCTTTTATTTCTCCCTATAAACAGATCCTGAGCAGACAATGAAAATTTCCAATTCTGTGGCCATGCTGATTCTACAACAGCAGAGAAGTGGCATTTAAGCAAACATCTGAGACTTCCTAACAAGAGACCTAGGATGCTGGTGGGGGGCGTGGGTCCGGAGCAGGGAGGGCCTGCCTGGCTCTAGCTGGGAGTGAGCAGGCAGTGGTTTCAACAGGCAGGCCGGCAGTTGCATCCAGGTCCTGTCAGACTAGGTGTTAGAAGGGCCCAGTCTGCTCTGGAATGTCCCTCAGAGGGCAGGGATCAGTGAGGCGCAGAGTTGGAAGAGCCACTGAGGTCACAAGTCTTAACCTGTGCCTTTTGTGTAGAGGACTGTGTGATGTGTTGGAGAGGATTGTGAAGGGGGGCCATTGTCCAGGACACGCTTCCCATCAGAGCATGCAGAGCATACCACCTGTGTGGTAGGTGTGGGTCACCTCCGGGCCTGCCTGTGCCAGCAGCAGCTGGCCACCTCAGGCTGCCCTGAGGGCGAAAGGACTGATGTCTGGGCACGCCGCTGGCCCGCTCAGGTTGGGAAGCTCGGTCTAGAAGACATCGCTGAGCGCCCGCCAGGTCAGAGACAGTACTGGGCCCACAGTGAGGCGGCAGACGGTCCTGTCAGAGTTCGTGGCCTGTCAGGTGCAGCTACCTCCACAAATAGCACCCTGCAGGTATGAAGTGTTGATGTGGACACAAAATAACCAATAACCATTCCATAGATAGAGAGGTGAGTTTTACTTGAGCCAAATTGAGGGTTATAACCTGGGGAGACAGTTTCCACAAAGGAAGGAAGCATTCTGGAGAAGCGTGGTTTCAGCACACTCATACCTTTTTAGAACAAAGAACATACATTAAACATGCCCGGGATACACATTCCTCAAAGTTTCAAAGCGGTATTCGGTTCCAAATTGGCAGGTCCACATGACCCTGATGCTGGGAAAGGGAGTAATTTGGGCAGCACCGATAGGGCGGGAGGGGAGGTGTGGGTCTCACCTCAGAGTAAAGCGGAGGCGCGATGTCTGACGGGCCATAAATCAGGCTTCTCTTCAGGCCAAATCCATTTGGAACCAGAAGTTACCCCATGTACCTCAGTATGTGAAAATCTCTTTCACTGATAAGTTTTCCAAGAGCCATGGGAGTGGTGATGGGAGAGGTGGTGTGGCAGGGAAGGCCTCCTGGAGGAGGTGGCACTTTAGTTCAAACTTGCAAGTTGAGAAGTGACTGAGGGAAGATCATGGGATTGGGGGCACAGGCTTGGGAAGTGCCCACGATGTCCAGGGACGAGCAGGTAATGGTGTGGCATGGAATGGCCACGTGGAGAGGAGGGAAGCCAGGGCTTAAGTCTTGCTGAGTCTGGACTTTGTTCTATGGTCAATGGAGAGCCGTGGAGGCTTCTGAGCAGGACTCAGTGGAGTCACACCTGGGCCCTGCTCTCATGCTTGCCCCTCCCCGTAAGCAGCTTGCTTCTTGGGCAGGCTGTCCCCTCCTCCTAGCACGCACTCCTGCCACCAGGCCCTGGCTCTGCAGGGCCACCTCTGTGTGTCCTCTGCAAGGCAGTGCCCCCACTAGGCTGACATCACCGTCCCCTGCTCCCTGGCAAAGAGGAATTGCAGAAATGGAAGAGATGATGCAGTAGGCAAGGAAGGGCCCCTGAAATCTCTAAGAATTAGTAAGTGACCACAAATGGCTTCAGTGTTGCTAAAGGACGATCACAAATATGCCAAAGCCACGTAATACTATCTCGGATAGGAAGAGCGGGAGGCAAGGTTTGTTGCCATATAAGCAAGAACTTAGTGAGGCATCAGAAGCAGTGAACTCCCCATCACTGGAGACGGTCAATCAGGGACCCGCCGACTACTACAAGAAAGTTGTGGAGGGAGCGGCAGATGAGCACGGCCGCGTCCAGGCCTTGGTGCTGCGTACTCAAGCAACATGAACTCCCAACGAAGAACATGCTTAAAAGGGACAGTATTCATATTTTATTAAAACAAACCACATATTAGAAAATTGCCGTCATTTGAAAATATCTGCAAGCCATTTGCTGTATCAATAAAGAAATTTGTACAGATTCAAATCTGAAAGAGAACAGGTGATCAGTACCCTTCCACGGGGAGCATCAGCTGTCTCGGCACCGTGTCAGGCACAGCGGAGCTCCACCGGGGTGCTCAGAGGCCTGGTGTGTGCAGCACGGGGCGGTTTGGAAGGCAGGTTCATACTCTATGGCTCATTTGAGCCGCACAGCACTGGTAGATGGAGTCATTACCCCCACTTTACACATGATGCTCTAAGAAGTAAAAATGACTGGGCAGAGGTCACAATTGATTGTGGACCAAAACTGCAGTTTCCTGACTAGCACAGGCCTTGGCCCAGAGCAGGGGGTGATAAAAGCCAGTTTGTCATCCTTTACGGTCTCATCCCAGCTCTGTTTCTGCTACATGAATCCAAACTCTCAAATCCCCCTTTGGGTGTAAGACCTCCTCTCAGAGCCCAAGGAAGGTAACCCAAAGGTGGACTCTAGTCCCTCGGAGTAACCAGGCGAATCGAAGTGTCAAAGGCCCGACAAGGGAGGGGCCAGAGGCACAGGTGGCGCCAGAGACAGCGTACGGCCTGGCAGACCTGAGCACAGAGTCCAGCGCCACCATGAGCTGTGTGACCTTGGTAAAGTTACTCCTCAGGGCCTCAGTTTTGCCATATGTAGAACTGGGGTAACTTTCCACCTCCTAGGGATGATGCGAGGATCGAATGAGTGAATAGCAAAGCATTAGAACAGCGCTGACAAACTCGCACGTGCTGCCAGTGCCCGGCCCCGTGGCGGGGGCCTGGGGCAGCCTTGGTTGGCAGGGATGTGGGTCACGTGTACCCATCGGCTTCTGTCAGGATGCCCTCTGCCTGTCGGAATCCAGCTCCGGGCGCCCCGGGAGAATCAAGTTCCCTTTCCTCAGGATTCCTGGAGCAGAGTGCTTAGACAGCTGTCCAAGCTACAGCTTTAAATGATTTGGTTAGAACTAAAGGCACTTTTGAGGTTCCTTCTACTTATATTACATTGCCCCATATGAAAGTACCATTTTTAGGTCAAAAACTTGGAAATTGGCACTTTTATATGGTTCAAACCAATTAATGCACCAAGAGTCTGTTAAACCAGGAGGGAGATTTCAGTGTGCATTTCCGCGCCTGACTGCTGGCCTCCTGCCAAGCGCCTAAGAAGATACTTAACACAATATAACTTTAAAACCCCCCGGGGAACTTGACAAATCAGGACGCTGAGCCTTCAGGACTGAGGCACAGACCCTGGAAAGAGGCTGTTCCCTCCCCGCTGGAGGAGCTGGCCTTCTTGATGCCGTCACTTCCTTCTGGAAAGCGGGGCTCTCTGGGTTTCCTTGGCAACATCGGGATCTGAGGAGCAAGGGGTTGTCTGGGCCGCCCAACCTCCACTGTAGCTCCTCTCCTTTGGATTCCATGACAGTTGAGAAAACTGCCTGCGGTTGCTTAGCAACGGTCACCTGCTGATTTCTTCCCAACATCCCTTGAGAAATGAATGAGCAGTAAAATCTCCCAGGTTGAGAGCTGGGCCTGAAGGTCTGGGCCAGGGGGCAAGTCAGACACTTGCCTGGGGGTTGGGGTGGCCCAGCTCTTAATCACCACGGGGGACTTGAAGCAACTTTCTTTCAGGACCTTAGTCTCCCCAAATGTAGTGAGGTCAGGCTGGGCGATCTGTGAGGCCCTCCCAGCTGAGCTATCCTGCCCTTCAACGATAGCCAGCTGGCCCTTCACTCACTGCCTGCGAGGGTGGCAGGGTATGAGGACGTAACTGCTCTTAGCCTCCAATCTAGTTGCAAAGACAGGTCGCAGATTCGTGGCCCTGACAGTAAGAGAGGTTCTTGTGGCTTGGGGGGACCTCCCGGGGCAGCTAAGCCCGGGAAGACTGAGACAGGCAGAGGGAGGAAGAAAGGACTTGCCTGTGTAACTGTGTGTGTATGGGGCCCCGGGGAGGACAGCAGCAAAGTGTAGAGGTGGGGCTATGTGACACCCTTCTGGAGCTAGGAGCCACTGAAAATAGCTGCAGGAACTCCATGAGGATAAGTCGTTTGGGTCAGACTAGAAAAGCCTTGAATGCTAAGGTAAAGTGCTCGTTTTCTCCCCTGTAGTCCTTGGGAACCTCTTGATAGCTCTAAGCAGTGCAGTGAGGTGTGAGAGCCCTCTGGCTTAGGGTGGAAGAGGAGGATGGGTCAGGCCAGGTGGTGACATGGACAAGCTGTAGAGTGAAGAGGAGGCAGACCCAACGGACCGTCAAGGGATAGAGTCAGGGCTGGGTGACTCCCATTCATTCACGTATTTACTGTGTGCCTACTATGTGCCAGGCGTTCTGGGTGCTGCACGAGGAGGTGGGAGGCTGAGGATAGTGCCTTCTGCCACGGCTCCCTGTGGGGTGTGCTTTCAGGCGCCTGGACTGAAAGGAGTGCAGTATGGGTGTCCTGGTGGCGGGGGGGGAGGCCTGGGGAGAGAGCAGCGGCAGAGGGCCTGTGTGTAGGGCACATCTGAACCCAGCCCAGCAGAGGAACTCTTCAAAGCACAGGGCCTGGCTGGTGGGGAGAGGGTGCTTAAGAGTAGGCCGCTGCCCAGCCCCGGCTGGGTCGGGGGAGGCCGGAGCCGCGGGGACCCAGGGCGGCCTCTCGGGGCTCGGCCTAGGGCAGCCGCGGGATGCTGATGGCGCCCTCCCAGAGCCGCAGGGCCGGGTAGAGCGGCTCCTGGAAGACGGCGCGGAAGGTGTGCAGGTGGCTCATGCCGCCCGTCACGTCGTAGAAGGCGAGCACGCCGGCCTCGTAGTCCAGGAAGACGCCGAGCCGCTCGGGGTCGCCGCGGGGCCGCAGGCGGCTGCGCTGGCCGTCGTGGAATGCCCAGTACTCCAGGTCGTAGCGCTTCAGGCACCACGACTGGCGGTTGCAGCCCAGGCGGGCGGCGGCCGAGGCCCCGCGGCGCCGCAGCGAGGCGTAGGCCGCGCCCGCCCACCAGCCGGCGCCCGCCTCCTGCACGTCCACCTCCCAGTAGTGGCGGCCTGCGGCGAAGCAGTCGCGGCCCAGCACCTGCCACAGCGCGTCGAAGCGCGCCGCGGGCGCCGGCCCCAGGCGGCCCAGCAGCGCGCAGCGCACCGTCAGGCGGTCGGCCGAGAGGCGCAGGCGCGCGTGCATCGTGTCCGGGTCCAGCGAGGGCGTCCGCGCGTCTGCGGGGGCGGGACACGGGCCACGCCTGTGGGCGGGGCCAGCGCGGCGCCCCGCCCCCCGGGACCGTCTCTCCCCCCGCCCCGCGCCCCGCGCCCGCCGCCCCGCGCGCGCGCCCACCCCAGGAAACGGGAAAACTCCGGGCACGCCCCACGGAAAGATGGAGTGCCACCCTTTTAACCCCAAACGCCTCTGGAGAGGTGCTGGGGCGACAGGGGAAGAGAGAAAATTTACTGTACACCCAGTGTACCGTTTGAATTTTGTACCGTGGACTTCATTGCCAACCTCTGAAAAAGTAATTGAAATAATCCTGTCATTGATCACAGTCGGGTGTATAGCCTTCCAATTGTCTTTTTACTTGATGCTTTACAGTTTTTCTTAACATTGGTATCATACCAGACATGCTCTTGGGTAATCTGCTTTTTAAAATTTATTAATGTATTGTGAACATTTTACCACATCAAATAATATTCTTTTATAAGAGCATTTTAATGACGACCCTAAGATTTTGACGTATGGATGCATTACAATTTAACCTATCCCTCCCACTGAAAAAAATAGGCATTTTTAAAAGCTTTCAAAAACACTAATATTATTACATCTTTAGTATCTGATTATTTCTTTAGGATATATTTCTAAAAGAGGACTTCCTGGGTCAATGGGGATGGTGGTTTTCAACGCTTTTGGTAAATACTGCCCAAGTGTCCTCCAGAAAGGTGGCAGCGATTTAAACTCCCAAAGCTAGTTCCTGTTGCATCATGCCACATACTAGACAAGAAATTTTAAAAAAGTCTAGATCATAGGGTGTGTGGGTGTTTGGCTTTAATAGATACTGCCAAAAAGTTTCTCAGTAATGTTTTGGAGTTTTCTGTGGAGAGGTTTTGTATATCTTTTGTTAGATTTATTCCTAGTTTTTAAAAAATATTACTGAAAATAATGTGATTTTAAAATTTCATTTTCTAATTGTTTATTGCCAATATATGGAAATACAATTGATTTTTGTATAATGACCGTATATCCAGCAGCTGAAGATTGCTCAAGCCATATTGTTAAATAAAAACTTACAAAAATATCTATAATATGATCCTGTTTTTAAAAATCTGTGCACATATATGCCTTTAAAATATCTGAAAAAATATATGCCAAAATATTAGCAGCATTTACATCTGGAGGAGGCAATTGTTTTATTTTGTATATATGTAATTTCTAATTTTCTTCAAGAAGCATCATTCGCTATATAATTTCTTAATGGGAACAAAGATGTTCACAATATATCAGTAAATGAAAACAGATTACAAAACAGTATATATAGTACGACACCACGTTTGCTTAAAAAAGATATATTAAATATTTATCATTGTGTGTGTATATAGATATGCCAAAGAAAGCTAAAGGGCAAATCACGGTAGTTATCGACTACTACATGTCTACTAGGGTAGACATGAGCAGAATTTCTAAAGCTCTCCAGTGATTTATGAGTGATTTTCTTTTAATTTCTGCTTTTCTTTGTTTTCTAATTTTTCTACAATGAACATGGATTATTTCTGTATTAAAAAACTAATAATAAAGGTTAAAAAACCCAAGTTGGCTCTCTTAGGAAAAAAAGGGGGGCCTCCATTTCCGTGACCCGCCCCCCACTGTGCACCCCGCCCTCCGCCCTGGGGGTCTTACATTTTAAGAAGAGGGATCGCTCTGGTGAGGGGCTTGTTTTCAACAAGGAGCCCGGCTTGGTGCTGGAGGAGCCCGAGAGCTGGCAGTTCATGTCTGTAACGAATTGCAAGAAATGAGTGCCTGGCTCACGCAAGGAGCGCAAACTGTAAAACGTACTAAAAATGATACAAAACTGGAGATTTGCATAATCTCTCCCCAAGAATCGCATGCAAATGTAAGTACGGAATGCATATTCACAGCGACAGGAAAACTCGAGGACAGGCTCAGATCCAGGAAGAAGCGCACTTTCCAGGTCAGAAGTGAGTTCGGCAGTGGTGGGCCGTGTGAGTGAGCCCTGGACTGGGGAGGAGACAGTAGGCTCCAGGTGTGTATCCACAGCCAAGGAGGGGAGCAACCTCATGGCAGAAAGGCAAATGCCAGGACAAAGATGGAAAGCACGAAATTAAAGCTGAGTCCTCAGAAGGTCAGGTCTCGCTCAGGTGAGAGGGAGTCAGGGGAGACCCAAGTCATGGTCCCTGTCTTCAACAGCTGTCAGGTAAATCAGGTGAGAAAGGGGCTCACTTGAGCCACCATCGGAGGCAGAGAGTGCTCCAGGTCACAGACAAGAGAGGTGAAGGGCTCTGGGGCTTGAAGGGGTCAGGGAAGGCTTCATGGAGGAGGAAGCCCCTCAGCTGGCCCTTAAGGGATGGGGAAGATTTGGACACCCAGAATCAAGGATGGGAGGCTTTCCCAACAAAGGGTACAGCGGGAACGAAAACATGAAGGGCAGGGGGCTAGGAGTGGCATGTAAGCAGTGGGGAGCCATGGGAGGTGTCTGATTGAGGCTAGACATGAGCAGAAAAATTTCCAAAGCTCTCTCTGGTGGGGAACGATGGGGCAGGTGAGAGCGGAGGCAGAGGCCTGCAGAGGCTCCTGCAGGAACTGGGCAGCAGGGATGGAAAAGCCAGGTTGAGGAAATGCCACAGTGGCAGAAGGGCCAGGACTTAACGCTGTGGGGGATCAGAGTTTGCCACCTCAAGATGTATCTCTTCGGCATAAGGATTATTTTCGGCTGGTTATTTTTTTAAAAAACTGCAGACATGGGAAAAGCCCTGAAAACCAAGTAGAAGTTACCCTTTCTAAGAGACACTTACATTTGTAAGGGAAATCTCCATCTGTAAAGGTGTCTCCCTCTCTGTACCAGGAAGAGGGGCTGACCTTGTCTCTAGAAACTCTCATCAACGCAGAAGGCAAGGACTTAAATCTGCATAATAAGCGTACTCTTGTTTTCTGTGTTTTCCTGGTAATCTCCCATAACCGACTCCCCCGACTCCCAACATCCTCCTCTGTCTTTAGCTGAAGATGGTATTTAAGGTGGCAGCTTTGGCCATTTGGGCTGAGTCACCCAGTTTTCCTGGGTTTCTCCTATATATACATGGTGTAAAGCTTTGTTTGATTTTCTCCTGTCATTCTGTCTCATGTCAATTTAATTTGTAGACCAGCCAGAAGGACCCAGAGGGTAGGGAAATTCTCTTCCTCCCCTACAGCCCTTTACTGGGAGTCAAGCAGCAGCAGCTTGGGAGAAGATGCAGGATCCCTTTGGGCCTGCTGAGCCTGCAGTTCTGTGGAGCACACAGGTCGGGAGGGAGTGGCGCTGCGAGACCCCCATCTCCTCGGGTCCTTCCTGGGGGTCAGCACCTGTGATCATGAGAATGATGGCCTCACGTGGAGGCGGGGGAGGTGTGAGGGCCTGGGAGTCTAGGGGTCAGAACACAGACTCTGGGCCCAGAGTCTGTTTGAATTCTGCCTCTACCCCCACCAGCTGTATAACCTAGGGCAAGTCAGTTAACGTCTCTGAGCCTCAGCTTCCTTATCTGTAAGATGGGGCTAGCGAGGCGCCCACCACACAGGGTGCTGTGAGGAGCTGCTGGACGGATCTGTGTGAACGGCTGCAACGATGCCTGGCGCCAGGCGAGTGCCCTGCCTGCAGATGTAACGACAGCAGCAGCAGCTAAGGCTCACAGAGGGCTCACTCTGCCTGGCACCTTGCACGTCAGAGCCCGTTTAGTCCTTGCAACAGCCCCCGGAGAGGACACTGCACCATCGTCCCCACTTTATGGACGTGGAAACAAGCAGAGACAAGGTAGGTGCCTGGCCCGAGAAGGCAGGGTTAGGAAGCGGTGGCTGGGGGAGAAGCTGGCACTCTGGCTCCAGAGTCCCCGCCTGTGGCCACGACGCTCTCCAGCCCTTCTGACCCACAGGGATCGCAGAAGGCTTCCTCAGGTCCGCTCAGAGAAGCCTACCCGCTGCCCCATCTGACAGCTCCTCCCCGGGCCACCCCGTTCTCCTCATCCTGCTTTATTTTCCCCAGAGCACCTCTCATCGCTGACGTCTACTCCTCTGTGGTCTGTCTTCCCCCAAGAGGCTGAGCACGGAGGCAGGAGCTCTGCTTTGTACCTTGCCGTGCTTGGCCCTCAACAGGGGCTCAGTAATGTTCTGAATGAATCATGACAGCAGAGACGAATGAATGAGTGAGTGAATGAAAGATTGAACAGATGTTTCTGAGCACCTGCTTTGTGTCACGCCCTGTGGGGGCCTCAGAGCTGGACCCCAATTGGTTCTTGCCCTCCAGGCACTTACGAGAGGCAGGGAGGGAGTCCATGTATCCAGCCTGTGACCACCCCCAGCCATGAGATGGGGCAGCGGGGAAGCGGAGACAGCCAGGAGAGGGAGCACGCCCAGGGTGGCGTGGAAGGGCTTTCCAGGTGAGCACAGCTGTGTTGGCCCCGCAGGGACGGTGGGACTTGACCAGGCAGAGGAAGGTGGGGGAAGTTGGCCATCCCAGCCGGGAGCCCAGAGCAGACAAAGACGTGGTGTGGCAGAGTCCCGGGAGCAATTGAGGGGCAGAAGCAGGGCAGTGGCTTCGAGAGGCAGGACGTGGTCGCAGGAGGGGGAGTCAGAAGGGTGGGCTGGGCCCAGGCCCAGGAGCCCGGGACGGCCTAGCCAAGGGCCTCTGTGTGGGAAGGGCATGAGTGGGGTGGTGACCTTTGCAGTTGTCTCTGGGCTAAAAAGCACCAGGGGAGTAAAGGACATGAGGTTAGTCACACAGCAACTTACTTTCCTTAAGGCGAACGTCCAGTGGCGTCTGTAACACGCCCTGCATGGCTTCCATGAGGCCCTTAAAGAAGCTCTTGACGGGCTCGAAGGAGAGGGGCACCGGGTGGCACAGCTCCCCCAGGCTCATGTGCCGCTGCATCTCCTGCTCCGCGGCCGTGTACTCCTGCGAGGGCAGGCGGGGTCAGCCCCTGTCCCAGCCCCTCCGCTGCCCCCGGAACAAACCCAGGCCTGGGGCACAGCCCCCCGCCCCCCACCAGGCTGTGCCCCTGGGAGCAGAGGCCTGGAGAGACGGCCCAGTGGCTGGGCTGGAGGAGGGCCCCGGGCTGCAGGTCGGGTGGGTCCAGGGCTCCTGCTGGCCCTGCAGGCTCCTGCCGGCCAGTGCACCCAGGCCCTCTCTGTGCAGGCACAGCGGCAGGGGGAGGAGGCAGGCTGGCTGCCCACCTCGCAAGGGGCCCTGTGCCAGGGGTCTGCCTGAGGTACAGGGGGACAGAAAGAGTGAGGGACTGGTTTCCCTGGGGAAGGACCCCAGGGCATGTCCAAAAGGGGGAGCCGGAAACCACAGCCCAAAAGGAAAGCCAAGGGCCGAGAAGTGCAGCTGGAAGGCTGACTGAGGGGTGTGGCCACCACAGTGGGGACTGTCCTGTTTTCTGCCTGGACATCACCTTTAAATACACTGCCTGTGTTAGGTGCGGCTTTGCTAAGTAGAAGTGAGAAAAATGCATGCTCCCAGCCCCCTTCGCGCCCAAGGTGCAGGCAGGGGACAAGGCACCTCCCACCTAGGATCTGGATAGGGAAGGGAGGCTGAGGTATTGACAACAGGTGGAGCTTGGGGACAGCGGCGGTGGAGGCTCTGGCACCGGTGCCCTGGGTCAGTGGTGTGGCTGTGACGTCTTGCCTAGAGGAGCAGCAGTAGGTCTGCAAGGGAGCAAACCTGTGTGTGGCCTGGCCTGCGTCCTGGCTTTCTGGCTCTCCTGGAGACCCTGTGAGCTGCCTGATACTCTCATAACCTCGTTTCGTGCTTAAAACAGTTCCAGTGGACTCTCGTAACTGTTTGCCATTAAGAACCCTGTCTGCACTTTCTGAAGGTCTGTCCCGGGCGAGGATTTAAAAGACAGCGGGTGAGCAGGTCCTGGCTAGTGGGCAGTGCTGCCCACGCCGGGATGGAGGGACGGACACCTCGGGGTGGGGGGCGCTAGGATTCAGCTGTCGGCAGAGGCAGGCCCACCAGGCAGGATGCTGGACCTTGGGAGGGGGCTATGGGATGGTCTCCAAGCCCCATCCGGCTCCGGGGTGGCAGGTGGTTGGCCCAGAAGGCAGATGAGTGGGGTGTGGGGCTGGGGAGGGGGATGAAGGACAAATGCCACCACCTGGTAACTCTAGCATCTAGCAAAGGGCCTGGCACACAGTAGGTTCTCAGTAAATACCGATGATGGAATAAATGAGTGAATGAAACGGAGTGCGTCTGCTCCTGGCTTTGCAGAGCCAGAGAACAGCCCCCAGCCACCCATCTCCAGCCAGAGACTGGCCATCATCTTGGATTCCCTCCACTTCCAATCACCAATCCTGTTGACTTTCTCAGACCTGCCTGCTTCTCCCGATCCCCACCGCCCCTTCACTGGTCCAGGCCCCCATCATCTCTCCCCTGGATGCTGGGTCTCCTCCCAACTTCCCTTCCAGCCTCCAGTCCTGGCCCCCTCAGTGAATCTTCCACCCTGTCACCAAAGTGACCTTTCTAAAGCATTAAACTGACCGTGTCATTTCTTGCTTTAGGACCCTCGCCTGGCTCCCATCTCTACAGGACAAGGGCTAACCTCCATGGCCAGGCACAGAAGGCCCTTCATCAACCAACCCTGGCCTCCCAAGCCAGCAGCAGCTCTGCACACCCCTCCCTTTTACCCCTGCCCTGCCTCCAGCCAGGCTGAACCCGGGCGGCTCTCCAGCCTGCCAAGCTCTCAGCGTGCATGTGGTTCCCGTCTGCCCGGGATGTCCTCTCTGCTCCGTCTCTCCGAGATACCCTGTGAGTGGAATATACTCCACATCCCAGACCCAGCTCCTCCTCCTAAGTCTTCCCTGACCCCCCATACAGAGTCGGACATCTCCCGGACACACTTTGGCTAGCTTGCTTGAGCTGTGTTGTACATAACTCTGAGCGTGTATCCCCACCCAGGAGCTCCTCGTGTCAAGCAGGGGCCTGGTGCTGAGCACATAGCTGATGAATACATGGACAAGAAAATGCAAGGAAGGACTGATGGATGATGGACGTCAGCAGCTCTGGCACCAGAGAATAAAAAGAGAGGATGCCACAGCCCTAAAACTGCACCTATGATGGAAGAAGAACCTTCTCCTCCGTGGAAGAGTCCTTTTGTATTAGCTATCCCTAAAAAGTACCATTCTTTTAGAGGAAACAAACAGATGTACCCCTCTGTGCCTCTTGCCCCTATTAAAGTACAATATCCTTTGTGCCTAGGAGAGTACCTCGCCCAGAACTTTTTGTTAGGTTTATTTTTTCTTAGCTAAACAATGAAACACAGGCTGAATTGACCAAGGCCACATAAAGGCACATGAGTGGAAATACCCACCAGGGACTGGCTTGACTGGTTTCGCAGTGACTGATTTATTTGTGTATCTTATTTCCCAGCCACAGCCTATGCTAATCTGTGGTTAGACTCAGTGCCACCTTTATTTAGTTGTACCCTGCCTTGTCCCACAAGCCTTTAAAGCACAAAGGTTGTCTAATACTGCAAGATGTTCCTGTACAGCGAGAAAAATGGAGCAAAGACAACACTCGGATAAGAATGCAAGCAGGAAGCCAGAGGGAGATGAGGCACAAAATGCACGCCACAAAGTCTCAGCCCAGCTATTGAAACACATTCGGCTCTGAGCTTCCCAGAAACCATGGCAAAGAAGGAAACAGGAAGAGTTACATGAGTAGAAAGGCAATCCAAGTGCACAGGAGTACGGGCACGAGGGAGGAGTTTCTTCCAGGGGTCCTTGAAGACAGGAACACTGCTCTCAACAACACGCTTTCACTAAAACAGCGACAAATCTCACACGGGCATTTCTTAGACGCTTCCTCAGCATAAGCTAACAGCCTCCGACAGAGCCCAGTGGCTAAGGAGTGCCATCCTTCTCTCCCCTTTGTGATCAGCTCTGGAGCCTGCTCCAGAGCTGAAGGGACACCTTCCTTTCCAGAAGGGGTGTCTCAACTCGGACTGTAGAGGCAGAGGGCCGGGCAAGGCTGCCTCATGGCTTTAGAGTTGGACAGACCTGGGTTCTGATCACCACTCTGCCACCTCCCAGCTGTGTGACCTCGGACGAATCACTTCACCTCCCTGAGCCTCAATTTCTCATTCGTAAAATGGGGGAGAATATCCACTTTGCAGAGTTCTTGTGAATATTTAAGCTAAAACACATAAAGTGTGTGGAAGACAGAGGTCCTCAAAACGGTGGCTGTCAATGTGAATGAATTAGTGCAAGGTATGTATTATCTTCCTGACAGTGTATATTTTCTGACCACGCGTGGGGGTAAGGAAGTCTCTATGCTGACAAGGGGATTCTCTGCATATTTACTCAGTGTGTAAATGCCATGTTCAATGCCACTGTAACCGAGAGGCAATGCTGGTGGCAGGTGTGGGCCGTGAGGGCAGAAACCCAGCCTTATTACCTGCAGCAGCTGTACGGGGTTGGGCTCCTGGCTGATGCTCCACACCCTGTTGGAGAGATCGTTCATGATGTCGATTTGCTCCCCACAAGACTTGATTTGCTCCCTGTACCGCTGGAGGGCAAGCTGCGTGTTTTTATCAATGAATTTCTTGGCCAGCACTTCCTCTTCATCAAGAAGTAATCTGAGTTCACTGAATTTTTCTGTCAGCCAGGTTTTACTTGACTCTGCATGAGCCTAAAAAAGAAAACCAGTTGCAGATGATATGATTGCCAACCAGGAAGTCCAGAAAAATCAACACGAAAAAAATTATTACGACCTCTAAAAAGTGAGTTCAGCAAGGTGGCAAGTCAAGTCTAAGATCAACTTATAAAAACTCCAGCTTTCCTGTAGATCATTATCTTTCTCCATACACAAAAATAGATCAAAATGGATCAAAGACTTGAAGGTAAGACCTGAAACCATAAAACTTCTGGAAGGAAATACAGGCAGTACACTCTTTGACATCAGCCTTAAAAGGATCTTTACAAATACTCAGACAAGGGAAATAAAAGAAAAAATAAACGAGTGGGACTTCATCAGATTAAAGAGCTTGTGGAAGGCAAAGGAAACCAAGATCAAAATGAAAATACAACCCAACATCTGGGAAAAAATATTTGCAAATCATATATCTGATAAGGGGTTAATCTCCACAATATATAAAGAAGTAACACAGCTGAACTACAAAAAAATAAACAACCCAATCAAAAAGTGGGCAGAGGATATGAACAGACATTTTTCCAAAGAAGATATACAGATGGCCAATAGGCGGATGAAAAGATGCTCAACATCACTGATCATCAGGGAAATGCAAATCAAAACTACACTTAGATATCATCTTACGCCCATTAAAATGGCTATAATCACCAAGACAAAAAATAATAAATGTTTGAGAGGTTGTGGAGAAAAGGGAACCCTCATACACTGCTGGTGGGAATGCAAACTGGTGCAGCCACTGTGGAAAACAGTATGGTCATTTCTCAGAAAATTAAAAATAGAATTACCATATGACCCAGCTATCCCACCACTGGATATTTATCCAAAGAACTTGAAATCAATGATACAAAGAGACTTATGCACCCCTGTGTTCACTGCAGCATTATTCACAATAGCCAACACGTGGAAGCAACCCAAGTGCCCATAGACTGATGATTGGATAAAGAAGATGTGGTGTATATATACAATGGAATACTATTCAGCCATAAAAAAGACATAATCGTTCTTTCGCAGCCACGTGGCTGGACCTTGAGGGTATCATGTTAAGCAAAATAAATCAGACAGAGAAAGACAAACACCGTATGATTTTACTCATATGTGGAATATAAACAAACTTACGGACAAAGAGAATAATTTAGTGGTTATCAGGGGGAAGGGGAGGAGGGTGGGCACAGGGGTGCAGGGGCACATTTATATGGTGTCTGACAAATATTAATGTACAACTGAAATTTCACAATGTTATGAACTATTTAGACCACAATAAAAAAATTAACAAACAAAAACTCCAGTTTTTCTAAGTACCAGCTATAACCAATGGGAAAATTGGAGAAATAAAGATCCTTTTTAAAATAGCAGAAAAAAATACAAAGTATGTAAAAATAAACCTAACAAAAACTGTAAAGACCTAGATAAAGAAAAGTATAAAATTGTACTGAGGGGCTGACCCTGGCCGAGTGGTTAAGTTAGTGTGATCTGTTTCGGCTGCCCGGGGTTTCAGAGGTTCGGATCCCAGGCGCGGACATGGCACCACTCATCAGGCCACGCTGAGGCGGCGTCCCACATACCACAACCAGAGGCACTCACAACTAGACTATACAACCATGTACTGGGGGGCTTTGGGGAGAAGAAGGAGGAAAAAAAAAAAAAAGATTGGCAACAGTTGTTAGCTCAGGTGCCAATCTTTAAAAAAGATAATAATAATAAATAAAATAAAATTGTACTGAAAAACATTTTTAAAAACTCTGAATGTGTGGAAGAAAAAGACATCCCTGGCTGGGAAAATTCATTACTATAAAGACAGTATTTGTTTCCAAATTAGTCCATAAAGTCAATGCAATCCAAAAGTCTTAACATGCAGATTAAACAAATATTCAATTATCATGAGGGAGAATAAAGCACAATAAAAGCCAAAAATTGCTTTAAAAAGTTCTGTGAAGGATGAGCTGCCTTATTAAACATCAAACTGCAAAGCTAAAGGACTTAAAACCATGTGGGTTAGGGACAGACAAAAAGATCAAGGGCATAGAATAAAAAGTTTAGGAAAGAACTGAAAAATACATGTGTGTGTGTGATAATGGTGGCATTTCAAATTATTAGGAAGAAAGACTGGAGTATTCAATAAATGGTATGGGTACACAGACAATTAACCATGTATTTGAAAAAGATTTTAAGTCATATCCTTATCTTATACCACATATAAAAATAAATTCAGACAGAACCTCACCTACGAAGTAGTCTTGCCAAAAAACGCAAATTCGCATCTGATCAGGCCTCTAAATCTGCCTTAAAGGTTCCATGTAGAGGACAGACAGGCAGAAGAGGAATACGAGAACCATCAACTTAAGAAATGCATCAACCAACTGCAACTTGAAAACTTTATTTCACTCCTAATTCAAACAAATAAATGTGACATTTATAAGACAATAGGGAAAGTGACCACTGATTGGATGTTTGATGATATCAAGGAACTACTGTCAATTTTCATAGGTGTGATGATGATACTGTTGTTATGTGTTTTAAAAAATGAGTCCTTATCTTGTAGAGATAATATGCTGAAACTTTTACAGATGAAATGATATGTCTGGGATTTGCACCTAAATATGTGCATATACTTGACGTTTTCCACAATAAAAGGTAAACAAAACAAAAAAAGAAATCCAAATAGATTAAAGCACTACACATTTTAAAAAACCAAATAATAAACCTATTAGAACGAAATACAAAACAATTTTATTTCCAAAACTTTGGGAAGGGAAGACCTCTGTGAGAGAAACCCAAAACCCAGATGGTTATTAAACGGGAGCCGTGACAGGTTTGCTCACATAAAAAATGGAACTTTTCCCTAAAGGGAAAGCGCTGTGAATAAAGCTACACAACAGGTAACAAACGGTGCAAGTTTACTGTCCATAACACATGGGACAGAAAGAAGTCACTGAATTCAGACATGGGCCAAAGACAGGCAAGTGCCAACAGATGTACGAAGAGGCCCCTCAGCCTCCCCAGCAACCAAGACAGCGAGCAGTGTAACCAGGAAATAGATTGTGGCCGTCCGACTGAAGAGTCTGAACCGATGGACGATACTGGGGTCTGTGAGGGCGCGTGCAACGACACTCGCACGCTGCAGTGGTGGTGTCTATTGGGGCTGCACTTTTAGCGGGCAGTCTGACCGCACCAAAACCTTAAATGCATGTGGCCTTTGATGCAGCATTTCCTCTTGCAGGAATTGATCCTAGAAAATGTTTTCACATGGGCATGAAGATTTGTGTACCAAGATGTTCACTATAGCAGTGCTGGTGATAGAGAAAAATAGGCAAAATTTTCAATATGGGAAGTATATACATATATTTATCATATAAATTATGCTGCATTCATACAATGAAATAATACATAGTGATTAAAAAGAATGCAGCATTCTGAGGGGCTGGCCCCGTGGCCGAGTGGTTAAGTTTGCGTGCTCTGCTGCAGGCGGCCCAGTGTTTCGTTGGTTCGAATCCTGGGCGCGGACATGGCACTGCTCATCAGACCACGCTGAGGCGGCGTCCCACATGCCACAATTAGAAGGACCCACAACGAAGAATATACAACCATGTACCGGGGGGCTTTGGGGAGAAAAAGGAAAAAAATAAAATCTTTTAAAAAAAAAGAATGCAGCGTTCTGATACATGCTGTAATATGGATAAATCTGGAAGACATCATGCTACTGAAATAAGCCAGACATAAAAGGACAAATATTGTTTGATTCCACGTTTATGAACTATCTAGAACAGGGAAATTCAGAGAGACAGGAAGTAGATTAGAGGTTACCAGGGGTGGTGGGACGGGAGAATGGGAAGTAATTACTTAATGGTTACAGGTTATGTTTGGGGTGATGGAAAAGTTTTGGAAACAGTGGTGATGCTTGTACAACATTGCACATGTAATCAGTGCCACTGAATTGCACTCTTAAATATGGTAAAAATGGTAATTTCTTGTTATGTATATTTTAACACACACACACAAACGCAGCGGACCTATATGTCGTGGCATAGAAAGCTCTCCAAGACACCATGTGGAGAAAGCAAGTTGCACAATCATACATACAGGATGATCCCATTTATGTAAAAGATAACAGAACAACAACTATACATGGATATATGCATCTGTATGTTTGCAGGTGCATTTAAATGTCTGTTGGTTGTGATCACGTTTGGGAGGAGGTGTGGGGTTGAGGGGATGGTGAAGAGAAACTCTTACTTTGTACATGTATAGTTCCATACTATATTCTAATACACTATTTAAATATTTAAAATGGGCACGTGTTCATGTATTACTAGTACAATTATAAAATAAAGCCAAAAATCATTTGGAAAAACCCACAAAACCTAGGCCAGCCTCTTCTCCCAGCCCAAACATCTGTACAGCCCACGCGGCGGAATGACCCCTGGTACCCGGCAGGCTCCCCCGTGACGCAATGCTCTCTTCTCAGTGGGGCAGGAACGTGTGGTTTGGCAGGATCTAGGGGACGGGTTCCTGAAGCTGCGTTTCCCACACAACGTTCCAGGCAGTGTGGTTGGGCTGAGACTGGCTTATACCACCACGTGCCTGACAGATTGAACTGGCTTTGGGCTAGCCTGGGAATTAGTCTACACTTAACATGGTTTCCATGGGTCCGTGAACCTGGACGCAAATATCTCTCTGTTTAATGACCAAATGAAGGAAAGAAAAGGTGTTCCAAACCCTTGATTTATGAATGCGTTTTGGAGGCAGTGTATGTAAATGGAGTAAATGTAAATGTAAATGCAATTCTTTCTATAGAAACCAAGACGGCAAATATCCTCCCAACCAAGCTATGCTCCAAGCAGTTTCTACAGATCCGCCTCGTAAAGAATATACAAAATAAGCTTCACGACACCATACATGGTAAAAACTCTCAGGAATAACTGTTCAGAAACATCCACAAGAAAACTTAAAGTGTAAGCAGATAGGCTGATTCCGCAATACAG